TAAATCTTTCCTTCTTTCATTTGGAGTGTTTAGTATTTTGTCCCAGCAAGGAGAAAAAAGTAACCAAGACAACATATATCTGAGACTACATGGTTTTTTTTTTTCCCTGTGTCTGGATTATTTTATTTCATGCAATGGTTTCTAGTTTACATTCATGTTTTTCAGGCTGAATAATATTCCACCGGGGGACAATATATGAATTTATGTTGATTCCATGCTGTTCTGGCTATTGTGAATGCCACTACAAGGAGCTTGTGAGTGCAGACATCTCTATAAAGTGCTAGTTTCATGTTTCATGGATATACTCTCTCAGAAATTGCTATTCATTTGGTAGAGATTTTATTCCTAATTTTTAAATTCTTTCATACTGTTTTTTTTTTTTAATTTTATAATGACTGTACCAAGTTTACATTATAATGGTTTGTTTTTCTCTATACCTCCAAAGACATTTCCAATTTTATTTCCTCCCATACTGGGAACTTAACCCAGATCCTTTGCAGTCATTTTTTTTTTTTTTTTCAAGACAGGGTCTTGCTAAACTTTCAAGGTGTCCTAGAGCTGATGATTCTCCTGCCTCAGCTCCCAAGTAGCTGGGATGACAGGTAGGTGCCACTGCACCAAGTCATCACTTTTGGATAATAACCGTGCCACGTAACAAGTGTAAGAAGCCTCTCATGGTTTTGATTTGTATTTTGCTGATTGGTCCACGTTTGGCAATTTTATGTATTTGGAAAAATGTCTCTTTGGGTTCTTGCTCATTTTTAACTTGGATATTTGCTTTTCACTTCTAAGTTCTTTGAGTTCCTCTTAATTTGGATATTAACTCCTTGCAGATACGTGGCTCACAGATATCCTGGTTGGGTGTGTCACTCTTTAGTTTAATGCTTCCAATTTGATCATTGATCCTTTTATTGCCTGAGCTTTTGAAGTGATATCCATGCTTTATACTCCTGTTTAGCAGAAAGGTGATTCCTACGTAAAATAGAAGAGTTGAGTATTACTTGACTTATCATTTATAATTTGTTGACAATCTCTTTTTAGGGCGTCCTAGAAATATTCATTTAATGTTACAAAGCCGTGCCTGACAACAGCTTGCTTTTAAGGTTTTGAGTTTAAAAATACAAGTCCACATCCATACGTATCAGGTGTTTAAGCTGCAGTTTGGAAGGATCAACCTAGGAAAAGAAAGCATCTTTAGATCTAAAGGATGTTACTGGGGCCACGATTTTGGAAACCAGAGTAGACTGTTTTACATCTTTCATGAAAGGTCATTTTATCCATGAATTTGATTTTAATTGGAAACATGGAGGATAAACCGATGCAGATTTGACACCTTTAATATCTTTAAATAACTTCCTGCATTCTCTGATACTTGAGACGTGAAAAAAATGCACAACTAGGGGGCTGGGGCTTTAGCTCAGCAGCATAAGTGCCTGCCTTGCAAGCAGGCAGTTGCGAGTTCGATCCCCGATACCGATAAAAAAAGAAAAAGACAAAAAAAAAAAAAAAAAAAAAAAAAAAAACATGCACAACTAGTCCAAAGGTTTAGGTAGTGGGTCCCAGCCAAGAGAAGCTGATCCGTTCTGAGTCAGTTGCTAAGAAAGAGAACGCGATGTCACAGGCTTCCCAGGCACCTCCAGCCTCTTGCTGAAGATGTGGGGTGTGCAGCACCTCCCTCCTGGGCTCTGCCCTCACTTCAGATCTTAACTCCAGGGGCATCTCTTTTGGTTTTACATGTTGGTAGTATATTAACTGTTATGTTCATTGTGAGGCGTTGGTACATGTACATAACACATCTTAATTTGCAAGAAGATCTATTTCTTTTTTCCTATTATCTTTTATTTGCTCTTCATATAGTACTGTATTTTGAATTTCTCAGATAAAATATTTGATATTTACACTTGTGTGCTTGATTTATTTCATTTAATACCATCACAGGGTGCGTCCGTTTTCCTACAGGTGGCTCAAATTTATCCTTTATGGCTGAGTGACACTGACTGCATATAAATATCGTATTTTCTTTATCCATTCATCTGTCAATGGACTCCTAGGCTGCTTCCACGATTTAGCTATGAGTTGTGCTGCTGTAAGCCTGAGTGTGCATGTGTCACTGTCATCTCTTTAACCCTTTCTGAATGTTAGCCTGAGGGAAATAATGGTCAGTTGGAATTGCTATTGCTAGTTTTTGGAGGAATCTCCACACTGATTTCCATAGTGGCTGTTCCACTAGTTTCCATTCCTACCAACACTGCAGAAGGCTTCCTTCCCCTCTGCAGCCTCACCAGCATTTGTTACTATTCGATTTCTTAACGACCACATCTTTCTAGGGTAAGACGGACTCTCGGGACTGTTAATTTTCATATCTCTAATGGCCACGTATGCAGAACATTGTTTCATACATTATTGCCTGTTTGCACTTTGAGAAGCACTCTAGAGGCTTTCTTATGTCGCATATATAAAACTGCAACTTGTGATAACTATTTTTCTTTACTGCTGTTCTTTTTTTTTGCTTTGTCCACAATCAAACATAATGTCTTGCTTCTTTGTTCATCGTATTTTTCTTTCTAGAATAAAAGCTCCATTTTGGCAGAGACTTTGGGCTTTCTTGTTTATTGTTCTATCTGCAGTGCCACCCAGAGTAGGCATTCAGGAAATACGAGTGTGGGGAGGCCTTTTCACCTTGGAGGGCCTCAACCATTTTAGTAGAGCTTTCTCTGATTGTTCTCACTCATCTCTTGTGTGTTTCTGTAGAACTCTGCTCTAGACAGAATTAACGTCACATTACCTGACATTAAAGTCCACATTTTTCTTCTAGAATTTATTGCTTCCAGTTTTTAACAGTAACTATTTGGATAAAGCAAGCTTCTATACATGTGTTTGGAAATTCAATTACATTCATTCAAGTTAGGATAATTTCACTGACAGCAGAGAATATGAAAAAGATAGGATTTTATTAAACTGCCAGTTCAGTGATTCAGCAAGATGAGATTCAAAAAAAAAAAAAAAAAAGGAAATCCAGCAAATCCAGTTTAGTTTTCAGCTGCATCACAGTGAATCAAGCCTTCTGTGCTGGCCTGATCCAATCACAAATGGAGTTTTATCAGCAGCACTGGCTGAGCTGCTCAAACGGGACACAGCAAATGTTCAGGAGAGGAGGGACTAAAAGCCAGTATTTCAAAAAACTGGGAAGTATTTTGCTTGGAAAAGAGGAAACCTAGGGGGCATGATGAATGTCTTCAAATATCTTTAGTACTATCACATTGGTGAGAAATTGTTCTGTGTGGCCTTGAGGAAAGCTGAAATCATAGGGAAATCTATTTGGCTCAATAAGAGGAGACTTTTTTATGACCTGCAGTAAGAGGCCCAGCATGGGGAGGTCCCAGAGTTCTGACGCAGCTGGCATTTCTGCGACAGAAGTGGTTCATAGCTGTGCTCAGTAACCATCACCACGTCCTGTCTCCAGGGGCCCCGCCCCTCGGCAGGCTCTGCAGCCCTCCGCCCCTTCCAGTGTCTCTGTGGTGTCTGAAGCTGTATTCTTTGCTTCATGTGCCTGTGATTTCCTTTATGCTTACAAACTTTTTGCTATTCTCTCTTCTTCCTGTACTGATCTCTTGTTTGGCAACACACAAAGCAGAATGTCTGTGAACGTTCAGCACCAGGAGACCCACGGCACCACGGCCACCAGCCACGTAAGGCTGTGAACAGCTGTTAAACACCTGGGCTTGCTTGCTTTATTGTGCACGCCTCCTTGAATGCTGTCCTTTCACTGCTGTCTACTTGCATGTCTACAACCTGCTCAATCCTATTCTTTTCCTGGTCCCAAGAAGGTGTTCAGTAAAAACTTACCCTGTGAATAAAGCCAATGGCAAGCTACCATTGTCTCTGGCTTGGCTCGCAGTCCGCCTGAGTGGCCTTCCTGGCCTCCTGACATGACCTTCGGCCAGTTTGCCACGCTGCCAGCCAGAAGCGTCTTCCTTCCTATGCAGATCTGATCCTTTCTGTGCTTAAAAACAACCCGGTGGCTCCCCAGATGAGGCCCACACTCCTTACAGCACGGCAGGCACTGCGTGGCCCGATGCCCACCTCCTCTCTCAGCCCTCTGCCCTTCATCATCCGACCACAGCTGCTTCTTCTTCCTTTCCTTCAGCCCATGCCAGGCAGCCCTTCCTGGCTCAGCCGCCTTCTCCCGGGTCTCTGACTCCCTGGGCTCGGGGGGCTCCTTCTGCTGTTCCCATGGCATACTGTCTTGGCCCCTTTAATTGTGCTTAACAGGTTGTAGAGAGGCTGTCGCTTGCTCTTTAGATCGCAGCCTCAAGACTCCCCTGGCCCGTCCTCAGGCACACTGTACGGTTTGGGCACATTATTTCCATGTCCTTAACAACGCACGACTTTAGAGAGGGGTCAGGATGGGTAATTAAAATTCTAAAAGTTCTCCAAGCTAGCATGTAGTGTAAACATGTCAAAGTTTCTCAGTTTTTTATATTTACTCATGTATGATTTCTTGATCAATCTATAACTATTAAATATTATAGGAATATTGAATATTCTTATAAGATTTATGTTTCCACACTAGAAAGTGATTAAGGTGCAGACACTGGGCACTGGAGTTTAAGCTGTGCTCCCATGCAAGGCAGGAAGCGCTGCGGGGCTGGACGATGCAAATTCACTGCTGCACCAGCTGCCCATCAGCACTGACTTGGGAGCTGTCCCCTGGTGGCTGTGCATGTCTGAGGTGACAAGTGTCTTCTGTGCTTAAAGAATAGCTTTTCCACTCCCCTTTTGAAATAAAAAGAGGCTTATTAATTTCTTAAGTCCTACTTTGGTGAAGCAGCTACGATGTGAGCCATAGCTAATTCTTTAATAGTAACAATTAACATTACATTCAAGAAATACATAGCTTTGCGTCAGTGATATAGAGATCCGTTCTCTTTGGCATCTTTGACAGGAAATAAAACTGTACTTTAAGATACGAAACACGTAAGAAACAAACCAACAACTGCCCCAATGAATCCTGAAAATTTATTATTTGGGAGAATATCAGGTATTGATCTTTTGCTTTACAGCTCATGATAATAATCAGAAAATATTCATTTTGAAATGAAAGTCAAAAGAAAATAATTACATATAATACATATTACAGATCTTTTCTTTGTACATAAGCAAAGCAGTAAAAGCATACTTATGGCCCACAATTAGTGAACATGGCAATTTTTTGTTTAAAGCTGCAGCAACTCCAAATCCTCCCGGGTCAATGAAGAAAGTCACCAAGACATACACTTAGGGCGATTACCACGTCTGGCTGTAAATCTATATTTTTCATCTTTCCCTCCCCTCATATATATGTATATACTTTATTGCCTTTATATTTCTGCTGGTTTAATATAATTAGTATACTAAATAGTTATCTGCATTTATTTGGTTTCTAAAAATATATATAATGCGTTGGAAAGAGCTTCTGCAGCTTTCAGCAGTCACTGTCCTTGCATCCAAAACTTTGACTGGGAAATGTAAAGCAGCAAGACCAGAATAAATAGCGATGGTCGTGTCTCTTTGATACAGCTAACGGCCTTCACTTGGAACTCAGAAACACTGTGGCAAACAGTATAAACATGCAACTTAAAAACGGACAGAATATAAAGCGATACTTATGAGCTACATTTTAATACAGACTAATACAGACAACTTAAGGTAGAAGAGAGGAACGTGGTGCCATTATATACAGATAAATTAAGGCCCAGTTTCTCAAAGGCAATCGATGTACAATGCTAACTGCCCATCTGCCCACATCCTTTTTGGGCCTGAAATCAAGTTTTTGCTTTTTTCAAATTATTTCCTCAACCCACTACAGTCTAGTTGGAAATGGGTTCACAGAAATGGCTTTAAAAGAAGTTACTTCCTTTGAGGATCACTTTGTTCTTATTCACAAAGAAAGTTGTCTTTTAATGCAGGAGTATATCTTGTTTTTATTGTGGAAGCAAAGGCTCATTTATTCATCTTATATGTCACATAACCATACCATAAATTCTATTATGTACTTTAGAGTATATATATATATATATATATATATCACTTCATCCATGTTATTTTAGCTTGTTTATGACTAATTTCAACTACAGGAATTGATGATTTGCTCATTGATGATTGGGAATTAAGAGGATAACTTCTACTTATAAAACGGAAGCCTCACATATAAAACATTCTGTGCTTTAAGATAAAAAAGAAATGCAAACAACCCAACATAGCTTATAAAGAAAAAAAAAAAAAACCCAGGTAAGCCATCTTTGAGGACAATGATACTCAAAAGGTCAAAAAGACTGTTATTTGAGATTGTTCCTTGGTAAAAAACAAAAACAGGAACTATTTTTGGCATATATAATATTGTAGAAAATTGCCGTGTCACTAAAAAACACAGAAATTTGTAATTTATTATTAGAAGGTGAATATGCCCCCCCTGTAAAACTTTTTACTTGGTATTTTTGTATAGCATTGCCTGCTCCCCCCTCCAAAATGTATCCAAAGATGTGGCACTTAATCCAACTTATATGTATTCACAATAAGTAAAAATGATCACAAAGAGACTAAAACATTTTAAGATGCTCCTATGGAAATGAATTTTTCTATTTTAAAAACGGATTTAAAAAATCTTCTTTAGGTATGTGCTTCCAAAAGTAATGTAACTGATTAAAAAGTACAGCTGCTTAGTGTGTTCATTAATTCACATTGACACACTCTTCCCTTCGAGGAAACAGCTTTGCTATAGCTAATTAGGTCCATGAAGATTATTTGGCAGCTTGAAAATTCTGTCAAGTTGTCAGACAGGTGAACTGTGAGACTGCTGGAGAATCTCAACGACTACAAGTTGATGGAATGGTACCTGGTCTTCTTTAGCTACTATGTAAATTCTGAAGATAAGTTACAACAAGTAAGTTAGATATTGATGCTGTTTTTCATGGTATACCAAGGCATCTTTGCAATTAATTACAAAGTTTAACATAACTACAGTTCTGCATTTTCACTTAAATAGAATACAATGAATTTATAAAATGTTTTTCTTTGTGAATAAGGTCTTAATTTCTCTGAACAACAACAAAATGACTCAATATAGGGTAGGACTCCTTAAAAATAAGGCATATATTGGACATACATAAATCATTATTATCACAAAGGCTACAAATTATTTTGGTTTTTAAATATCCTAATTTTAAATACATGTAGATATGAAATGACTATTATAAATTGAGAGCAAATGTATACAGGTTGTGATTACACAGGTAAAGAATCATTTAATATTTCTCAAGTTATCTAGAAAGTAGTGGCAAGATCAATTTGATAACTCCAGGAACCCAAAGAAAATATTTTCAGTTGAGGTCTATTGTTCACCTGAACTACAAAAGGCAAACTGCATTGCTTTCAGTTCTCTAGAAGCTTCTACATATTTTCATAGCCATTCTTAAAGTTTCTCATAGGTAACCTAAACAAAGCAGCATTCCTGGCATTCATTAAACCAAAAATAAGTCAAATGTGCTGAAACATCCAAAGTTGCCTTCATGCATAAGACATTTCTTTATCGTTACCATGGCATTACTATATTAATCCACTTTTATTTTGTTGCATATAAGTAATACAGAGAATATATTTTCTTCAGAAGGACAAACTACCTTACATTTCAGGTCAAAATGTTAATTACATTGTACCAAATTTGTTCAGAGGGAATGTAAAAATGGCTATGAGGTGTCAGACAGTATCTGTCTGAACATCAGTGGTGAATCTTCGTTAAGCCACCACTCATGGGACAGGTGCTGACTCATTCTGCTTTTATAAATAAAACAATATATGTACAAAAGGAGATTAATATCCTATAAAAGTCAAACCTAAAAAAGAAAACATACTCTGAATTTAATTTTATTTCCTCAGTAAAATGTACCTAACTCCAATCTTTTTTCCTTCTAAGTGACTGGAGAAAGCACATAAATTATGTACAAAGAATAATTTATTCGTGGGTGTGTATACAACAGACCATACTTATTAAATGGGTTATTTGAAATATAGCCCCCAAGATGAATGCAATCATTGTGTACTGCAAATAAGTACTAGCAAAAATTTTTTAAAAATTTAGCATCTGGTAGATCATTGGCATCCCAAAGTATACCAATCTGTTCCTTAGATATCTATAAGTTATGCGTCACATTAACTCTGAGAATCCATGGCAATAAATGATAAGGCATAGCTCAAACAAATCACACAATGTACCAGGAAACCCCATGTCCATTTGGATAGATATCCAATACACAGTTTTGTACAACAGTATATGAAAGATTGCAAACCTTTTATATGAACACTTTTAACTCATGAAATATATTTCTGTTATGTTACATGGTCACCTATGTATTTGAAAATGCTGTTAAGAAAGATTAAAAAGAAATCTCAATTACTTTGCCTAAGTAAGCAATGGCTACGACAGGTTCATCAATGAAACGCAGTGGGTTCTTCTACAGTTAGTGTGGGTGGTGGAGCTCCCCACACTTCTGCAGAATAAATTAGCAATGCACGGGTGAAGTCTGGCAACGTGCACACAGAGATATCCACAATATGTAACAGTAAGTCACAGGATAAGTCTTAACAAAATTACTTAAACATCAACATTCATACATTCATCAATTACATGGAATAAATTAAACTAAGCCAGTCACATAATTCTCTGTACTCTTAGTTCATGGTTTATTTATGTACAAATATAGTATAATACTTTCCTAATGAACTCAAAATGCTAGAAATAAAAATGAAGGCTTTGCATTACAGCTGCTGGACAAAACTGTCAATACTGTTGATGTGTGAAAACACAGTTTCTTTGTTCTTTAGCATCAGTGCACAGGGTATGGCTCCACGTGGTATGCAGTTTAGGGGAAAAAAAAGATACAGTGGCTTGTGAAACATCCTCTGTTCGTCATTGGCACAAATTGAAGAAAGAACGTTGTTGTCCTTGGTACCTTTATTGGCTCTCTCCCCGAAAGACAGACAATGTTATACATATATGCCTTCAGGATTAAAACCAGATGAGATAGGGTTCTGCAGAATACGAAGATTACTGGGGAGCTGCCGAGATGAACCAGGTCGCTTCAGGGACCCCGAGTGGAATGGTGCCTCTATACAGGAAACAGAGACTCATTAAGCAGGAGATTAGCAATCCGACCAATTAGAACACTTCCTGTCCTAAAGGACCTGCAATGCCCGCGGGCTCTGGGCTCTGCAAGGGAAGGCTAAGCCCATTTCAGATGGGCGTCTACTGGATAAACCAGTGTTTGCTGGAGTGAACAGTGAGTGGTATGTTTAAAAAGTGAGCATTTTGCTTCTTGTGGTTGTTTATTGTAGAATTTACGGACTGATAACTGCCTTTTAAATATCAGTGCAAATTAGTAACAAAGACTTTTAGGAAAGGAAGAAAGGAATAAGGAACTGAGAAACTAAAATTCAAAATTAATAAATATGAAATACATACTTTAGGAAAAAGTTTTATAAAGAAGCATCTTAAAATGAATGAAATAAAATTTGGTGATTACATGATTACCTAAATAAATAATGTAAATACAATTAATAATAAGTATATAACATATAATAAATAAATGTTACTGTTTTTCCTCAGAATCAGGAAATAGGATGAATTTTTCTTTTAAGTAGTTCACTTAAAAGTTAGCTATGAATGGCTGGAACATGCTTTAACTTGAATGCAAGCAGTTTATTCCCAGTTCACTAGGGAGAAGCAAGGGGAAAAAACCTCTCATCACCACTTACCCCTTTCTATGTCTGCCTGGGAGGCCTCTATTTCAATGGGCTCTGCCGGCAGGACGGTGACTTTAGTTCCCGTCTGCTGGATGAACTGCTGGAGATTGACTTGCCGCAGCTCTTTGGTCAGCTGCTCCAGCTCTTGCTCTTTATCCTAGTTGGAAATCATTAGTTATCTTTTGAGTTGAGGATTCACTGCTGGCCAGTGAAGACAGCCTTGCCAAAGTCCCTCCATGGCAGGGCAGGCAGTGCCCTCGCAAGGGCAAACTTAACCAATCTGGTTCACAGAGATAGAATATGCGAAAGAGGTCACTGTTATTCTGGAATGAGCCCCAAACCAGGCAAATGGAAGACAATGGCTTTTCAGTCTTTTTTCCCCAGCACTGAGGACTGAACCCAAACCTCTGCACCATCAGCATCTCTACCACCTTTTGCTATTTTACAACAGGGCTCATTAAGTCTCTAAGTTTTCCGGGTGGGTCAACTTGCGATCCTCCGCCCTCCTGCCTCAGTCACCTAGTAATACAGGTGTGGCCACCACTCAGCTGTCTGTTCTCTAACTACACGCAACGCCTCCTTTGAAACATCAATCGCATAAAATGAGTACATGGTTATAAACTTTCATCACAAAAAAGAATAATACTACGATTCTGTACCAGTACTACAGCAACCATGTTGAACACCCCTATTAACCCCTTCATCACCAACTGCACATTCGCAGCCATTCAGTCCACGACACTTCGATTTCTTGGTTTTTATAAGCTGTTTAAATTTTTATAGAGTCCATTATTATATTAAGATTTACCTTATAGTATGAAGAAAGCAAGATTCTCAGTCTTAAGTTTTTACGTTCTTGACAAAAAGTGGGAGAACTCCAGAGCCCTGGAGAAAGGGATCAAGGTTTAGATAGCTGGGAAGCCCCAAAAGCACCGAGCCATCCTGTGAAAGGACTTGTCACTTTCTGTCCTCTCTGTACTGCACCATCAGGAAAGACACAAAGCCCCACCCAGGCAGATGTGTCTGAAGGATTTATTAAGCTCAGGGAAGACATACTAGAAGTGTGCTTACTGGTTTTTAAATTTTTTATAGAGCCACAAATCTAGTTTGTACAGTTAAAGGTGGTAAATTAATAGTCATCACAGTTTGTCATTTTCTAGGCTGTGTCGGATGCTATTGTTTTTGCTCATTGCACTACGTTAGCTAAGGTGACATAATTGTTCTAATTTGCTGTTCTTCCTGGCACACCAAGACTGAGACTGCCTAAGGGTCATAAGCAGTACTATAGGCCAGTGCCAAAGAGCCAGCGGCCAAGTATGCAGCAAGTTCTCATCTCTAATAAACTGAAGAGGTAGGATCTTGCAAAAGGCTCAAAATCTAAAAGCCAGCTACACCTGGAAGACAACTCTGAGAAGCAGTCATTTCCTACGGGTTCTAAATAATAGCTATAAAGCTACGCACCATACGCAATTTACAAATATCGACCCAGGAATTAAACCAAAACAACAAAAAGAACATGAGAAGACACTTAAGCAGATGCAACTCCAAACTTCCAACTCACCACAGGCAAACCCAGGGGGCAATGAAGTGGGACAAGTCAAAAGCCACCCACCTGGACTCCCTGAAGTGATAACAGCTGAAGTAACAAAGCAGATGAATGAAGCTCTAGAAAAAAATCAAATGAGAAATAACTTCTCAGATAGCTACAAAAGATGCTGACCATAATGAAAGACATGATTAGTGACTTAAGAGTAGATACAGATAAAAAAAAATAGAGGAGCTTAAGAAAATGATGGAAAGCACGAGCACTCAACATAGGAAACAAATGGAATCCATGCAATACACTGAAGCACTTAGGAGATTAAAAATTCCACTGAAAGTATATGCAGCAGAATGAGCCAATATGAGGACAAAAATATTAGTTATGGAAGACAGGATTGTGGTTAGTGATCATGAAAAGAGAAATTTCTTAAAATTAGCAAAGGAATACAAAAAAAAATCAATGCAACAGGTGCTAGATGATGCAAAGAATAATAACATAATACTCATTGCAGTCAATGAAAAAGCAGGAGATAGCACAAATGACATTAAAAAAAGCCTGTTCAAAGAAGTAATGACAGAAAACTTACCAGCCAGTGTAAATAATTTGACATATAGATGAGTGAGGTATACAGAACACCATTAGCCATGATCAAAGAAAAAATCTACACCAAGGCATATAATAGTTAAAATTCCAGAAAGTCAAAATAAGAAGACAATATTAAAAACTGTTGGAGAAAAGCAGCAAATCACCTATAAAGAAAAGCCCATCAGAATCGCAATAGACTTCTTAATGCAAACCCTCATGTCAAGAAAAGCCTGGAGTTAAGTATTTCAAGTCCTCAAAGAAAACAACCTTCAACCCTGAATGATCTACTCTGCAAAACTTTCTTTCAAAGTTGATGGTGAATTAAGACATTTCAATGACAAAGAACACCTGAGGAAATTCATGATCATCAAACTAGCATTCCAAAATGTTCTGAAGAACCTTCTAGAAAGAGATAATAAGGACTACAACTCCATGAACCTTCACAAAATGAATCTACCAGGCAAGGTAAGCAATTAAACAGGGGAAGAAAAGGGAACCAACAACAGAAAAATAACGTGACAAGGATAAGTCAATATATTTCAGTAATAACCATCAATGTTAATGGTCTCAATTCACCAATCAAAAGAAATAGACAGGCAGAAGAAATCAAGAAGCAAGACCCAACACTATGTTGCATACAAGAAACACATTTAATCCAAAAAATTCATAGTTAAAAGGGGCAAAGATAGGAAAAGAGGAAGACAGTGTGAAAGTTGAAGGATGGAAAACAATACGCCATGCAAAGGAACTCAGGAAAAAGCGGGGGTAGCTAATCTATTTGTAGACAAAGTGGATTTCAAACCAAGACTAAGAGAGACAAAAAAGGTCACCACATTCTCGTAAAGGGAACAATCCAAGAAGAGGTAACAATCATAGATACCTCTGTGCTCAACTATGTAGAACAAATAGTAATGGATATGAAAAAAGCCAAGCAATAATACAATTGCAATGAGGACTTCAAAACCCTGCTGTCACAAATAGATAACCAGATGAACAATCAATAAGGAAATATCAAAAGTGAACCAAACTTCTGAACAAATGGACTTTATAGATGTCTACTGAAATCAGAACATGAAAATACACATTTTTCTCAGCTGCATATGGGATGTTTTCCAAAACAAATCACATACCAATTCATAGAACATACTTTAAGTAAATACAAAGGAACTGAAATTATCCTATGCATATTATTAGGCCATAGTGCAAGGAAGCTGAAAATCAATGGCAAAGAAACCACAAGAATTTCATAAACATATACAAATTAAATAACACCCTCCTGAATAAGCAATGGATCACAGATAAAATTAAAGGAGAAATTAGACAATTCCACAATTAAACAACATTTCCAATACAACATACTAGAACTTATGGGACACAATGAAAGCAATCCTAGGAGGAAAATATATAGTGATGAATTCCCATATTAGAAAAAGCAAGGCACATAAGCTAATATTAAACCTCAAGCTTCGAGAAAAAGAGTAAGTCAAGCACAAAGCTGACATGAGGGAGGAAATTATAAAGATCAAAGCAGAAATGAATGCAATGGAGACAAAGAATCAATGAATCAAGAGTTGGTTCCTTGAGAGACAAGATAAAATCAAGCCCTTAGCAATCTCATCAAAAAAAAAAAAAAAAAAGGAAGAAAAAGACTCAAATTCATGCAATTAGCAATGAAAAGGGTGAAATCAGAATAGATCCTACAGAAATCCAGAAGATCATCTATACCTACTTCGAGAACCTATATTCTAACAATATGGAAAACACAGAAGCAATGGACAGATTCCTAGATAGTTATTAATTAACAAAGCTGAAACCTGATAACAAAGCTGATACAAAAATTCTAAACCAGTATCAGTCAATGAAACTGAAGATATAATTAAAAGCTTACTAACAAAGAAAAGCCCAGGTAGTGATGCATTCACTGCTGATTTAGAAGAGAAATTTAGAGAAGACATTATGCTGCTACTTCTCAAACTCCTGAATGAAACTGAAAGGGAAGCAATATTCTCAGTTTCACTCCTGCAAGCAAGATATCAAAACCAGAGAAGGAAGCAACCATAAAAGAGAATTAAAGGCCAATTCTCTAATGAATGTAAGACACAAAAAATTCTCAATAAGACACTGCAAAACAAAATGCACCAAATCATAAAGAAGATTATAAACCATGACCATGTAGTATTCATCCCAGGAAAGCAGGGATGCTTTACACATGCATATCAATAAATATACCAAATTAACAGAGCCAAAGACAAAAGCCATATGATCATCTCAATAGATGCAGAAGAAATGTCTGACAAAGTTCAGTACCCATTCATGATTTAAAAAAAACCCTACAGAAAATTGGAATAGATGATCTTTATCTCAATATAATAAAACCATCTCTGACAAACCAACAGTTAACGTACTAAATGGGCAAAACCTGAACACTTTCCCTTTAAAATGAGGAATAAGACAAGGATGCCCACTGTCTCTACTCTTACTCAACATAATCCTGGAAATTTTAGCTAGAACAATTAGACAAGAGAAAAAAAATAAAAGGAATAACAATAGGAAAGGAAGAAGTTTTATTGTCATTATTTGCAGATGACACGCTACTCTACATAGAAGACCCCAAAACTCCACCAAAAGACTTCTAAATTTAATCACTGAATCCAGTAGTGTGCCTAGACATAAAGTCAGCACTCGGAAGTCAGTAGTATTTCTGTACACAAATAACAAACTCACTGAGAAAGAAATTAGGAAAACAACACTTTTATAATAGTACACACAAAAATGAAATACCTAGGAATTACTCTAGTGAAGTAAAAGACCTTTTTATTGAAAACTGTAGTACTCTAAAGAAGGAGATCAAAGAGAATATCAGGAAATGGAAAGCTATGCCTTAAGCTTGGGAAAGAAGAACAAATATAATTGAAAATGGCCATACTTCCAAAATTGTTGTAGAGGTTTAATGTAATCTCAATCAAAATACCAGTAGTGTATCTCACAGAATTAGGGAAAACAATCTTAAAATTCATTTGGAACCAAAAGTGACACAGAATAGCCAAAGCAATTCTAGGCAACAAAGGTAAGGCCAGAGGCATCACAATCCCTGACTTGAAATTATACTATCAACTGCTGTGATAAAAATAGCACGATACTGGCAAAAAACTGACCCGAAGATCATAAAACAGATTAGAAGACACAGATACAACTCCGAACATACTCAGCCACCTTACCTGTGACAAAGGAGCCCAACACCTTCACTGGAAGAAAGCCAGCCTCTTAATAAATGGTACTAAAAAACTGGCTTTCCATATGCCGAAGATTAAAATTAGACCTCTATCTTTCACCATGCACTCAACTAAAATTGAAATGAATCAAAAAAAAAAAAAAGAAATGAATCAAAGGTCTAAATATTAACACTAAATGTGCCGGAAGAGAAAATAGCAGAACTCTTGAAAACACCGGTGTAAGCAAAGACTATGAACAAACCTTGATCGCATAGGAACTATCACAAAGAATCAACTGGGATCTCTTACCTAAAGCTTTTGCATAGCAAAACAAACCACCAACAGAGTGAAGAGGCAACCCTGAGTGGGGAAAAAAGTTTGCCAGCTGTTCATCAGACAGAGGACTTTCATCTAGAATATAAAAAGAACTTAAAAAAAACAAAACAAAACAAAACAGATCCCCCCCAAATTTAATGACCCAATCCAAAAATGGGCATCTGAAATGAATATACATTTTTCAGATGACAAAAAAAGTATGAAAAAGTGTTCAACATCAAGAGAAGCAAATTAACACAATGCTGAGATTCCATCTTACTCTAGAAAGAACGGCTATTATCAAGAAAATAACAAATAACACATGCTGGAGGGCTGGAGAATAAAAGGACCTTTCTCCAGTGTTGGTGGGAGTGTAGACTGATGCAACCACTGTGGAAATTCCTTGGAAAACCAAAACTAGAGGTCCCATTCAACCCAGCTGTTACCCTTGTTGATATCTTCTTGGAAGAATTGAAAGCAGCAAACTACAAGGATATACGCATACCCATGTTTAGAGTGGCACAGTTTATCTCAGCTAAATCTTGGAACAAATGCCATCAACTGATGAATGGACAAAGTTTTTTTTTTCTTCCTTTTTAAAATAAAATAGAATTCTATTCTGCCATAAAGAAGGAGAAACTTGAGACATTTCTAGCTAAATTGCTACAGCTTAAAACCATACTCTTAAATGAAATACATCAAACACATTTAAAGCCTGCATTGTTTCTCTGGTGTGAGAAACTGAAAGTATAATAGATATTGGGAAATGGGAAGAAAATATTCAAATGAAAAGGGGAACAGAGGAGGAAGAGAGGGAATGGAAAGAAAGAACAAGAAATAAAGAATAGAAAGAAAAAAATGGAAACAAAGCTTTTGTAAATAAGGAGGGGAAGAAGGGATAAAGGAGGGAAATGGGAAAAAAGTCAGCAGCAAGATACGTCATATACAGACACAGACTCCCTATGGTGAATGTTGTCATTACATATTTCTAAAATGTACCAATAAAATAAAAAAAAATTAAAAAGAATTAAAGAAAAAACAAGAAGTGCGGTTACTCTGAGTAAAGGGGTACTTAGGACACATTAGTAATTTGATTAATAGACACTGTCCAATGGGTGGCAGGATTTACTTAGAATAATTGTTACAAGTTAGTGTTTCCTATAAATAGCACCAAACGCAACGTAACTTCCAATGCACCCTTTTTAAATGTTCAAATGCAACCCGGTAGTAAAATACTGATAAAGCAGAGGTTAACAACTTTCTATTGCATCAGAAATTCCTGATTTTCTAAATTTTAGTGGTAGGTTTACCCTCACTTTACCTTTCACTACAGTAAGAGAAAGGAACTCAGAGCAGTTCTTGATGACATGGCAGCCTTCTCTGATTCCGGGACTGTTGAAGCGTTTGCACTAAAGGGGCTTCTCTGATTGCACTGTGCACAGGTAGGACTGGGGGTCGCCTTAGGATGCAGATTCTCACTAACAGAATGTGTGCTCAGGCTGCCTGCCCGGACTGCGCTTTGAGTGGAAAGCCAGCTCAGTGCAACGGGGCTTCCTGCACTGAAGGAAACATCTGATATCAGTGCTGTCCAGCACAATAGCCAGCCACACGTGCTGCTGAGACCTTGAAATGTGGCTGGGATCAAACACCGAATTTTAAAATTATCTAACATTTTAACCTAGTTTGTTGAATATTTTAATAGCTATGTTATAATCAGTTGTGTCTGTTTCTTACTTCATCTTCTAGAGATAATTTTATACATCTTCACAACTCCCAGATCACAATCACAAGATCTTCAAGAACAGGTAAGAAGAAAAGTGAGTGATCAGGGTGTAAGTGGTGAAATATCTATGAAGAGGGGGAAGACTGGCGAAGATCCCTTCTCAGGGAAACAAAAGAGGGAACTAAGGAGAGGAAAGGAGGGAAGAGACCTAAATCTTGGGGCAGAAAACAGGTTGGCAACAATGGAAATAGAGAGAGGCAGTCAACTGGCCACATATGCCCTGGCTGACCAATCTGTGATAATGTCATTTGGCCTCAGTTTCCCAAAGGAGCTCAGATGCACTATCTGATCGCCAGTGTCCACTCCAGCTCTGAGAATATATGCTCCTCCATCCAGCTGGCTAATGTCACAACAGCACAGTTAAAAAGCCTCTTATACAGAGGAAGGATGAGAGGGGCATTAGCTCTTGTCTTGTTCTGGCCTCATGTGTAAGTGCTTTCTTCTTACATCACAAGAATCTCATAAGACTTTTAAACGTACTTAGGTTTCTAATTCTTTCCATACAAAGAAATTAAAGCCTTTAAAAATAAGGGACATAGGGGCTGGGGATTTAGCTCAGCGGCATAAGCACCTGCCTTGCAAGCAGGCAGTCGTGAGTTCGATCCCTGATACCAATAAAAAAGAAAAAGACAAAAAAAAAAAAAAAAGGCACATAATTAAGAAAGAAGATCCCAAGAGTATGTTAATTCTCCTAAATAGGTGAAACACCCCGTTCATAACGATGCTCTTACCTGTAACCGCTTGGTGGCCTGTCCGAGCGACCTTTCCACAGCTTTGATTCCGTTTTCCAGCCTCAGGCTCTGCTGGCCTTGAATGTCTATCTCCCCTCTGACCTTCCCGATCTTGCCCTTCACCTCCTCCTCGTTGACTTGCGCCTCCTGAACTTCCCGCTGCAGCTTTTCTGCTTCCAGGCCGCTTTCCATGGTCTGGATTTGGGTCAGATAGTCCTTTAATTTGCTTTCGCATTCTGTGATTTTTTGTCTTATTTCTTGAAGTTGATCCTTCAGCTGCTTTTCATTTTCCTGCTCAATCTGCAATTCATTTTCCCAAAATTCTTCCTCCTCAATTTCTACATCATTTCTTTTGATCTTTTGCTCCAGGCGGACGATTTCTTCTTCAAGATTAGAATTGTATTTTTGTTCCCAAAACTGTATTTCTATTTCATTAGATTCCAGCTGCTTCTCAATGGCTTGAAGCTTCTCCGTCTGTAGACGGATCAGTTTCTTCAACTCATCCGCTGTGGTTTTGCAGTTATTCAGCATCTTCTGCTTAAATTCAGTTTCTTTGCCTTTTCCAAAAATGTCCATTAATCCTTTGGCACCTCCCGTGAAGGTCAATGATTTCCGCTTAGGTTCTCTCCTTTTGATTGACTTGTCTACCTGAGGTCTCAGTTTGGCTAACGGGGGCAGACTCTGCCTGTATAAAGTTCTTTCAGGAATCCGAGCCACACTATCTGAAGTGGGCCGCTCACTGAGAGATGGCCCTGTCCGACGCAGAATGAGCTGTACGTCGCTAGCATACTGCCCCCATTTGTTTAAGGAGATGATAGGATTTTCATGAGGTGCTAAGTGCCTTTCAGTATCTCTCCATTTTTCTATAAGGGTGTACCTTCCAGTTCGACCTAGCCAAAAAGACAATTACAAAGTATTAGAATGAAATATATAATTGTTAAATAATGGAACAAACGATACCATTTGATAACTGTGCTTCTTTAAAAAACATGATACTGGTTATTGAACTGATAGTCTTTGCACAGAGCTACAGCCCTGGTTCTTCTTCTTCTTTTTTTTTTTTTTAATTTTGAGACAGGCTTTTGCTAATTTGCCAGGTTGCCCAGGCTGGGCTTGAGACTGCAATCCTGGTGCCTTTGCCCCTCAGAGTGCTAGACTGATAACTATGCATTCACAATATGCATCACAAAGTCAAATTTTAAGAATCTGGTCCACTTTTTCAGTAACACCTATATATACAGCAGAGCCCTGGGAGGTTGGAGGCCTCAATTCTGAAGGGAGACAGACCCAATGGAACTCAGCTCATTGACTGCTGCTGATTCTTCCCTGTCTCCCTGAGAGTGTGATCAATCCATAGCTCACCATGCTGGGGCCCTTCCCACACCTCTGTGGCCAACTAAAGATCACAGCTCTACAGAATAGTTCCATACAAAAAGAGAAGCCTGAAAAGGAGGCCTTGGTCAGTCTTGATAGTAACAATTACGAGAATTATCCTAAGAAGAAAAAGAAAAAATTCATAAAGGCAAAATATAAATTTTTATTATTAAAAACAAAACAGACTCAAATTATATTTAAATTAAAAAATACTAAATCTATTAATTATGGAATTTAGATAAAATTTCCAGAAGACAACTTAACGTTACAAACTTTAACAGACTTCCAAAATATTTTCATTTAAGGCGGGCAGGCATTTTCATTTTGGTAAAAGTATACATGGGTAATTAATCTTATTACAAAGAAGAAAATCTGATCCTGCCATGTAGTACTGTATTGACATACACAGCTATTAACTTAACTTCCCTGCCTTTTTAATCTTCATGAGCTTCTGAAATAATAGTAGCACTGTATTTTCTTGATTACTGCATCACTAAACAGGTATCTAGATGTGTATACATGAACCCTCAAGTATACAATTCAGAGCAGCACATAAAGAATGATTATGCTGTACACATGTGGAAATGTTCTCCTTTAAGAAACCTGAATCTTAGATGTAGATAAAAGATTGAGACTTTGAAGACAAACATAGTGGGGTTTTCATCCTGGGTCAATTACCAGATAATTGTAAAACTTCACTTGTAAAATGCTTTATAGATTTTAAGCATCATCTGATAACAAGGAACTACCACTCCGCCTGATCCACTGCAGATATTTAATACGTGGCAGGTATTATTAACTTAACACATTGTTACCTTCATAACAAAAGGGATAACTAGAGACCTCCTTTCAATGGTGATGTGTCATAACAGTAATATGACTTAAAAGAAAATTCTTAAACAACTTCTAAGTACGCGTAAAGCTGGATAGAGTAGAAAGGACAGGGCTTAGGGGTCAGAAGGCTGTGTTCCAATCTAACTCTGCTTCCATTTACATGCTTGAACAAAATTTCTAAATTTTCTTCAGCCTTGGTCTCCCTGTCAGAAGCACTCTTTCCATACCTAAAAGACCTGCTCTGAGTCTCAAGTGAGAAGGTACAATATAAAAATGCTTCATAATATTGAAAAGTGCTGTACAAATATGTTCTTATTATCAAAATACCCAGGCAGATAAGGAGAATGAAAAAGAAAGCCAGAGCACATTGGACTGGCTTCTTGGAATGCAAAGTGTTTCTAATGGGTTTCAGGTTAAAAATTACTATAATCGTCCCATGTGAAACCACCAATACATCTGCAAGGTTAAAACTACGCATGTGTTTAGACCAGCTTTGAAGGTTGCAGCAGTTTTTGTTCCTCGCTCCTCTGCCTGTCCATTACTGTAGGCACCCTGCTCCTTTGCTTTGGACCTTTCTGCCCCCATTGGTAACATACAGGTCAGATCAGAGGGGTAGAGACTCCTCCAATTCTATCAGGTCAATAATGAATTTTAAAAAGAAAACAGAATCATCACATTGTACCTGAAGGACCTGCAGACATTCAATACATGCAGGTATTATAAACTTAATACATTGTTATCTTCATAACAAAAGGGGTAACCAGAGACCTCCTTGAAATAATAGTAGCACTCTATTTTTGAGAAATTCTGAGATCCCTACATTTAGTCACTGTTATGTATAAAGCTGCTATAATTGCTTTTACCGCTGCTGTTTCTGTTTGGTTACATAATGCACATTTTGTAGTACTGGCAAAAAGAAAGTATTCCATCCAGTAACATAAATTTTTTAAAAGAAATGAATGCATAGATTTGATTGTATTATAAGAATTGAGTTTTAAATATTTTATATACCAATCAAATCCCACAATCACTGTTCTTAAAATCCATAGTTGGCAAGGTCACACAGACCCTTTCATTTAGATAAGATTCTGATTCCTCCTGCATAGCTCATTTAGGTGCATTTTATTAAATGGCTACATTTAGTTCTGCCTTGAATACCATCTTGGTGTGGCCTTAATATTAATGCAGAGGAAGATCTCCATTGTTTGTCTCTCTGTCTGTCTTTGGCATTTGTAGTTTAAACCGTTCCATGAGTTAACCAGCACAGATATAATTATCCAGTGAAGAAATTAAAGTATAAAGAATTTTAATAGGTTTCTTAATGATATAAAAGCACCATACAGATTTATCATTGGATTTTTAGAGTTAAACTATTAAAGTCTTACTGAAATTATTAAGGTAACATTTACCATAAAGTATTTATCCTGACTGATATAATAAAAGATGTAGCTATTTAGGTATCAGCTGCTTGTGAACTCAACCCATGGTTAAACTGTTCATAGTATATTTTTCAAGTGTGTTGAGAATATTTAATCACAGAAGAGTAAAAGAGTATAATCTGTTTTTTAAAATTTTACCCATAGATACACTAAAAACAATGCTTATAGTATTGTTAGATACAATTTATAGAATGCTATTGGTTTGGACTCAGTTCTTGTACCAGTCCTGAAAGACCAAACCATCATTAAGTCAAAGCTGGCTATCTGATCTTCTGAGCTATCAAGAGAAAGGGAGAAAACAGCAGGGTAAAGACCTCCCTATTGCTTAAGGACAGTAACTCTGAAATGACCAACCTGCTGTTTTTCTTTTATTTAGCCTACTGGAACATGCATTCCACTTTACTGGGTGAGTTGTTGCCCAGTTCTAGAATTGCGAATAAAATTAATTAAAGTCTTAAAGCCAAATTTGCTCTAATTTTGCCTTTGACAGTAGTTAGTTCTAGGAAATAGTCATGAGTGATTCTTTTACTTTCTTTGTATTTTTCTAGATTTTAAAATAGTTGATAATGAATATTGCATAAACAGATACAAATTTACCTGTAAAATCAGAAGTTAAATATAGCTAAAATACATTCTTGTATTTTAAAGGATCACATGATCAAAGAGATGAATAGGATGTTAGGTAGCCACATATTTATAGAAAACAACCTTAAAATTCATTAATTTATTCACAAATATGTACTATTACTATGATATAACAGGAAATGTATTTGGTCTTTGTCCACAGTTTCTGACAGTGCTTTGAAAATTCCTGGCATTTCCTGAATACCAGGGGTGATAAGAACTTAAAAAAAAAAAAAATCTTCGTAAGAACTCCTTTTCACCCCATCCAAGTTTAACCAATTAGCTGGTTCTTGGTGGACCTCTAGATAGCTTCAGGATGGGGCTTGGTTGCCAGAGGAACTGACCAAGTGACTAGAGGTTGAACTTTCTGTTATTCTCCAATGAGGGCAGAGGGGCTGGAGATTGAATTAATCATCATTGGTCAATGAGCTATCAATCATATCTACAGAATGGAATCTCCAAAAATACCCTGAAACGATGATGTTCAGAGAGTTGCTGGGTTGGTGAACACACCAAGGTCCTGGAAGGGTGAGAGAACAGAAGCTCTGCACAAGCCTCTCCGTAACCTATCAAATGCTAATGCACCCCATTCCTTGTCCTCTGCATCTCTTCCCTTTGGCTGTTTCTAACTTGTATCCTTTCCTATCACTGGTTCCTTATAATAGACTGGCAATAATAATGTGTAAATCCTTTTCCTGGGTCATTCTAGCAAATTACTGAACCTCAGGAAGGGTTCATGGGACTCCTCAATTCGTAACTGGCCAGCCAGAAGAATGGGCGCTTTGGATCTGTGGCTGGTGCCTGAAACAGGTAGTCTTGTGGGACTAAACCTTCTCTCATGCTAGTACTAGGTGGACAATTTCAGAACTTGTACTAAACTACTGAACTCCCAGCTGGTGGCAGAAGTAACGTAAATAGAAAGCTCAAATACTTACTACATTCAAAATATGGTGTAGGCATTGGGAATAAGCAGTAACATACAGTGGTGATGATAGACAATATAAAAATAAATGAAGTCCATTGTCCAACAGCTTTAAAGCCACATGTGTTGAAAATTCCAGAATTTTTAGATTTTAGAACGGTGGCATGGTGCTATCCTTCAGGTTTTATAATAAAATATTTTGAAATTTTTAAAGTACAATGTACTAACGTTCATACTACCTGGGATAAATATAGATATAAAATAGCCTTAGATGAAATCAGACCAATTTTTGCCACTGAATGAGTTTAGGCCATGCCAAGCACTGCTAACAAAGTATAATAAACTTCACGATTTCAGAACTTTTTAGATTTCATAAGCTGGGTAAGGGACAGCAGCCATATGTGATATATCAGGAAAGGTAAGCAATACAAGAAACAGTGTTTGAGACAGGGAGTAAGTGTGTACAAATGCATGTGTTTGTGCACGTGCATAAACAGTGTCAGAGAGGGGCTTTGTGATAAGATTACATTAGCGCAAGATGTAAGAGAAAAATCATAACGACATCTGGATGCAGAGTACCCTCAACAGAGAGAGAAAAGACGCAAGGACTGAGGTGGGAATGTGCTTGGTGTGTCACGAGGGCACTCTCTGACAGATGGTGGGAGACGGCATGAGGTTGGTAAGAGTAGGTCCAAAGGATCACTACGTGGATTTGGAAATTCCAAGTCAGGAAACCATTAAAAGGTTCTGAACAGCGGAGTGAAAGGGTACAGCATATTTAAAAAGTATTACTTGAAAAGAAATCTGTTGAGAATAGGGTAGTGAGGACAAGGCTGAAGTTATATATTTTCCTATGAAATTCTGTGCACAAAATACGATCACCACATGGAGAGATGTGGCCTGCAGCACCACTCAAGCACGTTAGCTTTTGTAAACACTACTCCTTCAGCACTGAGCATGGCTTGATTCTCAAATATAACAGAGAAATTAGATTTGAAAATTGATAGTGCCTACAAAGCAAAAAGAAGAGCAATGTATCTTAATTCAAATAAAAAACAGAGGTTCTCATAAGGCATAAATATTAATAAATATTAAAAATATGGAATAAAGTTAAATACCTTAATTTCCCCTTTTTAGTCATGAAAATTAAGTTGACAAATACAACACGAGTCTCAGATGCAAGAAAATTTCATTGGATGTGACAGCCTAGTATTTTTAGCATTGTTTTAATATATTAAGAGTGCTGCAGTATTTAGGGGAAAGTGAAAAGCTATCAGTATTAAAACAAAGTATCTATGCTGGCACAGGACACTTTCAACTTCTACCAGGTCACCTGCTGCAACCTGGGTGGCACAGTCACCTCTGTCAAATGCTACCGTGCAGTGGCAGCAGAGAGACTCATTTCAATCTTAATCTACCTTGACACGCTTCCAACTAGGAAGCATAAAACAAACTTCTGATAAGGAGCTCAAAGGCAAAAACAAAAGCACAGACACACACCTAGGACACACAATTCTCTCTCAATTCATGTTTGCTATAAATAATGGAAGATCTACACAGAAACTTCAACCCATGGCATTTGTGTCACTGAGATAGGTGTTTAGACACTTATCACGTTCCAAAAACATTTAACATAACTAATAAACATACAGAAATTATGACAAAGGCAAACAAAGTAAGTTAAGTGGAACCGGTGAGAAGGGTAAGATGGTACCAGGAGATGTGCCAGTAAACACATTCAATACAACTTCCTTTCACTGGACAGTAAGACTTAGAAAATGTGTGCTATCTTTCTAAGAAAGAACCACATTATTTAATTTGCTGTACTAGCTTTTCTAAAAGTACTGAGAAACTAGTAATAGGATTTTTCCTTTTGAAGGGTTCTGGGAAATAGGAATCTACATTTTGGATTAAGAAAACATCTGTAATTTCAGAAATCACTGTCTAGGATAAATGTCAGGTGAGAAGACAGTGCCAACTCTAGATTCAAGGTCAAATCTGGGGGAGGATGGCGGATCACCAGACATCACAGGTTTTTCTACACATGGGCAAATGGTAATAAACAAAGCGTGCCTTATCTGTGAGATTTATTATGGAACCAAATTAACAAAAACCACTAGAGGTCTATATTTAAATAAACTGCATGTACACACATGTGTGCACACACATGCACACACACATGCACACACACAGACACACACACACACACACACACACACACACACACACACACCCTTAAAAGGAATCATAAAGTGCTTGTATCTCAGCTAGCCACAGAATTACTTACCTATAGCTTGAGCCAAGGCTATTACAACCTCTTGGCAAGTGGTGACTTCCGTAACCCCACAAACGATCCTCTGGACTCCATCCACCCATACTTTAAGTTCCATGGTGCACTGGCCAGTCACCCAAAGGCCCAGAGAGTGGTATTCAGGGTGTCAGGTCATGTCTCTGGTTTCGGGGACACGGAAAAGGCAGTCCGGAGTCAGCTAAAAAGAGGAAAATATTACTTACAATAAAGGAAACTAGTATTTATCACATAATATCATTGTCTAAAATATTATAGGAAACAAAACAAGCTTTAATATAGCATAACCCCACTATCACCAGAGACCACATGTGTACAGTTTTTCCTTCAGTGCTGGAATTGAGCCCAGGGCCTCAGCACTGGGCTACATCCCTAGTCCTGTATTTTCTATTTTGAGACAGGGTCTCACTAAGTCACTGAGATGTCCAGGCTGGGCTTGGGTTGGCTGTTCTCTGTCTTAGTCTCCCAGAGTGGTAGGGTTACAGGCATGTATCTGGCTACAAGCCTACTTACTTTACAGGACTGACTTTACCAGGCATGACAATGCTTCATGTTACTACTTCCATAATAATAACTTTAATTATGTTATGATCTACTGGATTAAACATTACTATTCAAGCCCTATTACTCAGTTTTTCTGTCTCTTTTTTTTGGTGAACTGTTTCATCAATGTACTTCTGAGATTAAAAAAAGAAAAATTTCCTGTCATTTTAGGGATCTTAAATAACAAAACCAATTCCAATAGCCTTGCCTGCACCAAATATGAACAGTTTCAAAAACAGCTGACAAGGTGTCCCGCGAACTCACTTTGCATCCCTTTCCCAGGGTGCCCCTGGCCTCCCCAGGGGACGATGGAGAGTGGGAGCCTCCCGTGGAAACGCCTGCACCAAGCACTGCATGAACACGGGTGTGTACGGTGGAAGGAAATGGATTTCCTTGGAGGCTAACAACTTCTCTATTGGTGAAATGCTTTTTCTTTCTCAATTAGCTAAGTCTATTAATTTTATTAAATTGGGAGAGTTATTGGAATGATATAAACCATTCCTGTCTTTGCCAAGTGCTTGCTTTTTTATATGCCAAGCAGATTTTTCATATGCCAAGTATTCTCATTTAGTCAAATCAAATGCCTTGGTTTCATCTTTTAATTTAAATATTATTATCCTGCAATCACTTATACATAGTTCTTAAAAAAAAAAACTCAACTCTTTCTGAGTTGTCTTTATAATGAATCTAGGATTTATTTTGTTTTCCACTGTTTTGTGTTCTTCCTCTTTGTTTTAAAAAAGGAATGCCAAAGCTTGTAAGATACAGTAATCACTGACTTGAGAGAACATTTGGATTTAAGATTTGTAATAGCACTGGTATTTCAGGGTTAATGACTAATATGAAAAGACTACTTAACACTAAAAGCTTTTGCTATAAAATAATATTTACTGCAAATAGCAGCTTGCCCCTTATACATTGTCTTAAAGACTCTAAGACAGTTCTGGGCTAGTTGGCCACTTAGGGGGATGAGTTGGAACACATATGAAGTGAAGGAGAAAGACCAATTACTTTCTCTAGAAAGTGCAAAAACTACTTTTGGTCACCTGAAAACAAGAAAAGACTATTAATGTGAATATTACTTTCCCTATATAAGTGTATGTGTGTCCTACATACATACACACCATACAGACACAAACACAGGGAGGAAAGGACTGAGACACACATACCCACAGGGAGACAGAGACAGAGACAGAGAAGTATCTGCCAAAGACCAGCTGATTCCCATATCTGTGTTCCTTAGTTACGAGGCCCTGGGGAAAAAAAAAAGGGCTCCAATGTTAAGGAAAAAAAAAGGAAGAAACCCAGTTTATAAAGTTAAGCAAGTTTCTTTCTTTTTTTTTTTTTTTTTGTCTTTTTCCTTTTTATCGGTACCGAGGATTGAACTCGACTGCCTGCTTGCAAGGCAGATGCTTATGCCGCTGAGCTAAATCCCCAGTCCCGCAAGTTTCTTTGTAGCTATTCTTCTGAGTCTTCAATTGACTGATGTGTGGTTAAAATTTCAAGTAAGTGTTGCACATGTAGCTGTCTCCCATTCCAGAGAACATTTAAGGAAAGAAACAGAAGAGTTCTGACTTGGAAGGCTGTTTCCTTGAATGCTAGGCACCCTATTTACTAAAAATGGAACATGCACTATTCTTTCTTGTTGGAAACAAACCAGACGTAAGAAATGGTTAGATATGAATGCACCGCTTTATTAAATTAAAAATCTGAATTAAAGTTCACTTATACTAGTCTTACCTTTCATTAAAAAAATCTTACACATGATAAAGCTACCAAAAGCGCTGCAGATCTGATTACTCCCTTCCCAAAGAAACCTATTATTCAAAAGAAACTCAGGGGACTCTTATTTTAATAGTAGAACACGTGATCTATCCACTTAACACATTTTTAAGTGCACAATGTTGCCAACTAGAAGCACAATGCTGCAGAGCAGGTCTTTAGAACTCATTCATCTTGCATAACTGAAACTTCACACACTATCAGCACCAACTGTCCATTCCCTTTCTGCGCTCAGCCCTTGGCAAACATCATTCTATTCTCTATGTCTATGAATTTGAGTGTTCCCCATCCTCATCTATATGCTACAGTCTTATTTAGTCTTTAGTATACTAGCATGTATTCTCCTATCTGAATTATCATTACTTCATGCTGAACTTTTAGTCATTAAGTGAATAAAAATGCACATAAAACACACCCACACACCTGTTCAATATTACAAAATAATTTTGTATGAAAATGCTGAGCACAAATAACATTGTTTCAAAACACAAACATGAAAAGTATTCAAGTTCTTAATCAGAGACTTCCTACCATGGCTCATACAGAGACGACCAGTACCTGCACATTTATTTTGTGTCTTTTACAGTAGGGAGCGGAGAAGAGATGCAAAAACCCTTCATGAAGCAGATCAACGGAACAGCCTGCCTTATTTCTAGGAGAGCTATTGTTTCTGGAGAAGATGGCTCTGTAGGACTTTGGGCCGCACTGACAAGCATTCCAAGATTCTCCAAAAAACAGTGCGAATCCACATCCCCGTCTTCCTCGCAGAAAGCCCTAGCACGTGTCTATAGAGCCGCAACCCTGATCCTTCCCTTCATACCCTTCCCAGCCCAATTCCTACAGCTCTACACCCAGCTCTGAATCAGCTGGAGGGGAAAATGGAAGTCCTATACTGTAGAGGTGGATCATACTGATACTGAGGACCCTGCAAGCAAAAGTTGTGTGCATTCCAGGTGGAATCTGGGATAAGTTTTTCCATGGAAACAGTGATTCAGACAGAATAAGGTTCACCTGTAAGGTTATTAGTATAGCTCAATTATTGCTATCCTTATGAGGCTTCTATATTTTAACAACTTCTGTTAAGTACATGCTTTCAGGGAATAAGTGTAGCTAAGCATTTACCACCTGCATTTGTGGAGATGCTCCCACGAGGTCAGTGCTTTTGTAAGGAATTTGAGTCAGACGTCATTATTTACAGGTGCCATATTGGTGAATATGCCTCCTTACTAAAATTTATTTGTAATCCCAGAAATCAGTACTGGCCTTTCATGGTTATTCAAGGATATGCACAGAAGAATGGAAATTTGGGGCTAGGGGCTTAGCTCAGTGGCACAAGTGCCTGCCTGGCAAGTGCGAGGTCGTGAGTTCAATCCTTGATACCAAAAAAAAAAAAAAAAAAAAAGACTAATGCAAAGTCTGAGCGGCCTGGGTTACATTCTGGGCTAAGGTTGAGCTGGGTGATGTGCCACCTTTTTGTTTTTAGCTTTCAGACTGTCAGCGCTCTTTTATCAGTCTATTTATTGCCATGTACTTTTGCACTTTTTTCTTTTTGGTGATGTCACAGTTTAGAATGGTCCCCTCATGTTTCTGCAGCAAGAAAAGGCTAAGTAAGCTGGGTATGCACACCTGTAGCCCCAGCACTTAGGACTGAGAGGACCATTGTTAGTTTGAGGCCAGTCTGGGCTACGAAAGTGAGTTCAAGGTCAGCCTACACTAAATAGTGACACTCGATTTAAAAAAAAAAAACAACAAAAACCCAAAACTAAGTAAGATGTGGAGAAAAATAGATACTTGAGAGTTTAATGTTAATGAATCAACAGTTTATATTAAATAAAGTACCTTGAAACAGAATAACAAGTAAAATAAGATTATCTGTTAACTGGTTTACAAAAATGTAACCAAAGGCTTACAGGAAACTATCTCTCTATTTTCCTTAGGAAAAATGGTTCAATATTCACTACATATTCATGCTGACCTTACAGAAAATAAATTGGTGAATAATGACAATCACTCTATATTTTAAAAGACGATAACCTTCTTTGTGTTGGGAACTATAAAGCTATAAAGTGAACACCATTACCGGTACAAAAGAAGCGAGCACAGAAGTAGCTTATGACCAAAAATTTTAATACTCTGGGAGATACACATGGATAACAAGCTAAGGATGCTGATATCCCAGTATAGAAAAACTGGTTAGACTGTGTTAAACTTACCAACTGCGAATGGGGGGAGCATTACAGAAAAGGGCTATAATGCCTATAAAATATCCTGCTAAATTACAGGATGCGAACTGTAACCTTTTGAAAACTGTATCTCCATATAAAATAAGAAACGTATGCTATCCCTTCAGTGCATACTGAGGCACCTAGAAGTAGTGATGGATACACAATTTAAGTTCTGTTAAGGACAATATAGAACAGTTGAAAAAATTTAATAGTCTTGTATTTCTCTTTCTCCATGTGAAAAGTCTCCATTGCAACTACATCTCTTCTAAAGACTGGTCTTAGAATTTCTTTTAGAGATATTTAAAATCCTAAGATTCCTTCTTAGTATGTTTTAAAATTTGCAAGTATAACCAGCTGTATATAATAATTATTAAATCAAATAACCTATGTTCTTTTCTTTACTATTCATCAAGTGACAATCCGCTGATTTACCCTTGTCAAAATATTACGCACTCAAAAGACTATTCTGCAATTACAGCAACTGCCGTAATTGGCATCTGAGCTTACTGTAATCCAGGCACCATGTCCCATTTATCTCTCACAACACAATTCACTGAGTTAGACAACATTCATCTCTTTTTAAAGATGAGAAAAGTGACTATCATAGAACTGTTAACTTTTTCAAGGTCAT